AACCTTCGGGCGGACTACTTAAATAGGCACTCAAAAGGTGCACGTGTGGCTTGATGTACCATCATTGTAATTACATATAAAACTTTATCTATACTCTAATAAGAAGTTCCCAGACCAAAGAGGTCACCTTAATACCATAAAAAAAAAAAAAAAACAATAGATATTGGAGTATAATAGATTAGTTCCAAGTAGAATATCCATCTTCAGATCCTAATTGTCCTGATTGATTCAGGGTGTTTACTTTTGCAAATTTAGCTTTCTTACTGGGTTTAGAATGTAATGGTAATTCAGTTCCTACTTCAGGGAATTGTTGTCATGATTGTGATTATAGTTGTGTTAATTGTGTGGCTAATTGTTAGATTTGTTGTAGAGTTAGAGTATTGTTTGGTAGTTGTGTAAATGGGTATGTATTGTTGTGCACATTGCTAAATTAACTTTTATACTGTTTCTTTTTCTTTTGTACACATTTAAAGCAAATAATAAGAGTTGTAATTATTGTTATAAATACTGTCAATAATGCGCCTAATACTTTGATAACAGTAACTAGAGTATTGTTTGAATTGTTTGTTGACATTGGTGTTATTATAACAATAGTTGGTTGCATATTTGGGAATATAGTTTGGCTTATTTGGCTTAATTGTGTGGAGCTTAGAGTTGTTGTTGTAGTTGGTGTTTGTATGATCATATGAAAATAATAATCTGTGCTTGTGTTTGTCTTAAATATAACTGATAATATGAGTATTGTCAAGATAAATAATTTTGATATGTGAATATTTATGTAAAATAGTTTTACTTGTATTGTTTTTAATAATATAGTATCGTCATAGGTAATCAATCTAAAAGTTTACTGTTGAGTAAATTAGTCTCTTTATTCACTAATTTCTCTTCGTTATTGAGGTTCAATCTGGTAAGTATATTACTTAACAAGTTACAATAGATATTTGATAAGATAGTAGTTTATTTGATATAAAAGTTTCTTTATTAATAAAATATAATATCATTATACAAGAGTAGTTTTTAATTCAATAGTTTAAGCTTCGATAAATAAGATGTTCAGCAATTAATGCTGTTATCAATACAAGGGGTGTTGTTAAAATCGTTAAAAATATTGCAAGAATAACTAATAATAATGAATCACTAAATTTTCAAATAAATATACTATAGTAGTCATAAATTGACTTATATGAAATATTTTACTATCAAAGTAATTTTTATATATGAAAGATTATAAGTGTTGGGTTATAAATTGAATATTACATACACGAAGTTTGCTAAGGTGAAATTTTGATGTTTAAATATATTTTGAATAATATAAATTGGTACAATATTAATTTTCTAAACTATCTAACTATTTAGCTATTATGCTATCGTATAGTTTATTTCCTAAAGTATGTATATAAGTATAATATATTCGTTGCTGATATTTATCAGCTTTGATAAGTATTATCTGAATTTCTTGGTACTTGCATTGTGTTGCTTGGTAGTAATCTTTAATGATTTTTGTTTGTTTCACACTTAGTGATCTGTTTGTTTTATCTCAGATTGTTTCTTGGTGCAATATATCCTTATTTATAAATTAATTTTTAGGAATTTTGCTTGTGTTTTCCTGTACATTAGGAGTGATTGTTAAGCCTAAAAGAATTTATAGCGAGACAATTTTTGATCAATTGTCAATTTTAAAGGATGAGTGAATTTTAAATACAAAAATAAAGGATATTTCAATATTTCAAATTTATAGTTATTTGGAAATACTTGTTAGATTTTTTTGTAATGTATGAGCAACAAACAAATATAAGCAAGATAAACTACTAAACTAACGACACCTGCTTGATGTTTTCATTTGGAGATTTAAAAAAAAAAGGTAAGGTATTATAAAATATTATATTTAACATTTTTTATATCATATAGTATACAATTATTAACTACCAATTAAAATTTTTTTTAAAGTAGCTTGTTTTAAATGCTATGCCAAGTTACTGCAACAAGCTGTACAAATAAATTTCAGAAATATTTTTTTGAGATCATGGACTTTTAATGTGCTACTTTTGTGACCTGCCTGTTAATTTTAGTAAAAAATCAACTATTACAACTCACATAAGCAGTACTAGACATGCTGCAAAAAAAAAGCAAAAAAACAATGTGAAATAAGATTAAGACAACAAATATTATATACATTAATAGATGCAATACAAAAAAAAAAGGATATGATTTTAGATTTGGTTGAGGTATTTGTAAATGCCAATATACTATTAGAAAAGGTTGATAATTTACATCTGTGGCTTAAGAATAATCTTATTAATAATGGATCTATTTCTTCAGCTGAAATATTAAGACAGAGTTACTTAAAGCCAGTATATAAAAAACATATCATGGCTATTAAATCAAAATTTTTCAATAAACCAGTTTCATTTATTGTTGATGAAATGATAAATGATTGTGCCAAAAACATAATTAATATATTATTTAGCCATCAAAATGTAACTAAATTAGTTTTAGTAAACTTTCTTAACAATGTTAATAATACTACAGTAGGGCAAATTATCCTTCAAACTTTAATTGAATAGTCTATTCTATTTAATACTACTAGACTTTTTGTCTCAAACTTGGCATCATATATGAAAAAATGTTTTCAAACCATTTTGAAACCTGTAATGCCCCAAATTATTCATATACATGCATAACATATATCTTAAATCTAATTGGGTATGTTATTATAAGTTTTGCTACCTAATTCAAAGTAGTAATCAAAGTTGAACTAAATTTTTAGGCAAAATTTGGCCAAAAATTTAGTTTAATTGATTGTTACTTTGTTAAAATTTGTACAAACTATGTTTAATATTTATTTCAAATTTAATAATTTTAGAGAGACATGGGTATTAATTGCATAATTCGATCTTGTTAAAGGTTTACTTGCTGATATTCAGCAGTCTGTTTCTAGATGTAAGAGTTGAAAAAGTTATTATTTAGTATATTTACATTATTATAGTGTTAAAAACCTCTCTTTACAATAAAACTAGGTGGAGCTCATGGTTTCGCTTGGCATTTTATATAATGGAAAATCTTGATTATATACACAGGTTTTATTATGAAGAAAAAAATGAAAATTCTTTCCCTGCTGTTGAAAAATAGTTGAAACTTTTGACAATTCACAACATAATTTCTTGGTTAAAGTATATCTTTATTTTATTAAACATTTTGCTCAAGTTTTTGTAAACGAGTTAGATTTTTTTCAAACCTAGAATTTACCTGTATTTCTATATGTTGAATCTTATATTCAACAACTTGGATTATACATTGAAAATAATCAAGCATTATTTATTTTCCCTTCTGATATTTGGGATTTTATTATTACTATAATTACTCACTTGATTTCTTTCTTTCAATTTTTCAAAAAGCCTTTCAAACTGCATATAAAAAATATTCAGATCATATTTAACATCACCTGGCACAACCTTTATTTCAGGCTACACAAATTTTTAACCTACTCTTTATTCGTCTTACTACTGCCAATTGGGATATTCATTCTTATTATATTATTAGTGAATTAGATAATCCTTCTTCATCTTTAATATATGAATGATTAATTTATTGTAATTTTGAATTGGCAACAATTGAATATGATAACTTAGCAGTGTTTTGGAAAAAAATATCTAAAAAATTACCAGAATTAAGCAAAATTGCTCAAGAATATATTTGGCTTCTGATTTCTTCTTGTGTAGTTGAGTGAAGCTTTTCTAATTACAATAATATTTTAGCTGACAATAGACAAAATCTTAGATTAGATTTGTTACAAATGCTAAATATTATATATTTTAATCAAGATAAATAAAATTTTTAAAAAATTTTATTTTGCAATAAAAAACATTTTTTGCTTTTACCCAAAAACAATATTTGTATAATGGGTATGTACGTATATAAGTTATATTTATTGGGATTCAGAAGACAGGTATCTTATTATTATTGTATGGGTCTTATGTGACAACTCATGCTTTACTTATTGACATGGGATTGTTACATCAGAGCTGTGCAATAAGATAGTGTTACTATTGTAGAGAGAGCGAAGGTACGAGTTAGCTCCAATAGTAAATGTAAGGTGTTATAGATATTTTTTCATTTCAATATAACTATGTGAGGTGAGGCCACAGAATATATAGGTTGAAATTGAGCAATTTATCTATCAAACTGAATCAGGGCTTGTACAATCAACTTTAAGTAGAGATATTAATGGGTCTTTTGGAATCGAATCCTAATCAGTCCTTACCAATCCTTTCAAAGATCGGTAAGAACTTGATCCTTAAATCACATAAAAGCTATATAGGACTCAGATCCCGGATTGATCATAGGACCCAGTCTTTTTAAAAATCCTAGGATCTAGTCCCTTTAAAAATTCTAGGATCCGTGTTAAACATCATTAGAACAGCCCTTTGCCTTTGGCCTTGCATCACTGGTAAGGAATATTTTTAAGGCATATGCCTTGATTTTGAATAGTTTATAACTTTCGGTTTGTGTATTTGATGATAAGAGGTATAATTTTAAGCTCTTTTTAACAAAAATGTAGCATGTTTAAGGCAGTAAGAAGTTAACCATTTCTGAATTAAATAATTATAGGTGAGCAAACTTACATTATAGAAGTTAAATCACTGAGTATTTAATAATAAGAGAAGTATACTCACACTTTTAACTAACTCAGTTTGTTGACACTCTTGATCAACTTTGTTATAATTTTAGAAATTTTAAATAGCATTGAAGATGGTGTGCTTTATATATTTCTCACTAATAACAAAATTGTTCATCTCCACATTAAGTATAAAATAATGGGTAAGTTAAGCTTATAAAAGTTAATTCATTTTGTATTTAATAACAAAAGAAGTGTAACTTATACATGTTGTCTACTTTTATCTTATCAGTTTGCATAAAAGAAATTTTAATTAGTAAATGAATTATTTTTTAAGTAATAACAGCATTCTTGTTTCAAAATAAACTATCCTATTTTTTGATATAAAAGCTAGAAATCTAATATTTATCAAGTTGAATTTTTAATAACAAAGGCAATAGCCTTCCCTAGTGTAGTAATAAAGGTGATATACTTTTCTTAGTATAGTTATAAAGGTGATATGCCTTCTTAATATAATAAAGTAACAGAGACAAAATGCCTTTTCTAGTGTAGTAATGCCTTTTTTAGTATAATTATAAAGGTGAATATACCTTTTCAGTATAATAATGAAGTGTGTAGTAACAAGCAATATGCCTATTCTAGTGTAGTTATAAAGGTAAATATACCTTCCCCAGTGTAGTGTAGTAACAAAGACAGTATGTAACAAAAGCAATATAACTTTTCTAGTGTAGTTATAAAGGTGAATATGCCTTTCTCAGTGTAGTATAGTAACAAAGACAGTATTCTTTCTCAGTATAATAATGCATGTAGTAAAAAAGCTGATATGCCATTCTTAGTGAACAAAAGCTATACATCTTAACAAGTAATGTGTTTAAATTTTATTTAAAAACCTTCTGCAAAAAAAAAAAGTAAAAAAAAATTATGCCAACAAATGAATTTGAATTTTTTACTGAAACAAATTAATTTGAATTTAAAATTAATCAATTTAAATTTGAAACAAATCAATTCGAATTTGAATTTGTAGATAAAGAAACCTCTAATGAAGAAACTGCTACTAGTGATGAAATCGCATCCTTGTCTCTATACAATGTAAAAAACATACACAAAAAAAAAATATTGCATCTGCAAATAACTGAGCACCCATCAGAGATTACCTTTCATTAATCGAAAATGATGGAGATAATATAAGCAAACTAACTCTTCCTGATAATCACTGTGCCCAAAATTAGAGCAGAACCAAAATACAGAAAAAATTACAATGGGACTAGATAAACATGCAGTGAGCAATTAGAAAAGAATAGTAGTTATTGTGAGAGGAAGTTAGTTTCTTAAGACACTAGACCTAAATAGAAAATAAATAGGCTAGTTACTTTGAAGAAATGGTTTTTGGCAAAGAAATTAAGGAGTAAAACAGAAAATTGGCTAGACTCCGAACACAGATCTCTGCTTGTAACACATAAACAAACAACATGACAAGTATATGAATTAGGATATCTAACGTAAACAAATCAACAAAGCAGCGGACACGTAAACAAGCAAATCAAGAATAGAAGTCTAGATTGGTATGCAAGAATCAGTAACACAGAATGGCTCGGGAATATCAGAAATGTCGAAGAGTTATGCAAAGCTTGAGGAATATTGAGGCATGTACAAAAGATCGGTAAATGAGCAGAATTTGATAGTAGAAAATTATAAGTCAAACATTTTGAGAAAAAAAAAAGAAATTGCAGCACTTATTGGTACAGAACCAGAAACAGTGTGCGTGTTTCAAAATATAATTGAGCTTTATAGCTATTGTGAGTACTTGTGGGCAAGAGAAGAAGAACTAGTAAGTCAAGATAAAAGTACAGCTTCTGCGTTAAAGAAACAGGACATTAAAAGTTTAATAGACCATGAAGTTGGATGTGTTGACTATGGTATTAAAGAGATCCAGTCTGACAAGAAGTCTGGGTGTATAGTGAAAGAAGATAGTAGGCAAATGAATAAGCTTGAAGAAGTAGTTGTAGTAGTTCCAGAGAAGAGTAAGCGACAAGATGAAGATCACAGTGAAAATAAGAGTAAAAGGGCCAAACTAGACCATGTTAGTGTGGCAAAAGCTTTGAAAAGCCATAAAAAAATGGTAGTCAATAAACAAGAGCTAGTAGTTCTAAAAGAAAGTGTGTTTGGAGGACCAAGTATTATAGATAGAAAGATGCAAGTTAACATGCACCAAGATACAGTGGTTGTAAAATCGATGCATATATCAGAAGTACTGGCTGAATTAGAAGTTAGTAAAGAAAATGGTAGATCAATGAATAGTCGGACAGCAGAGCATTACGTGAATCTGGCACAATCTGAGACCTATACAATATGGGATATACCTCTCAAAGCACATCCAGCACAAGTACGCAGATGTCTCCATTTCTATGGTAAAACAAAATTCGTATAATGGAAACCATTCGGCAAGAGTAAAACACTTGAATTCTCAATTAAGTTTTAGAATAAAAGGAGAATGAGAGTGTTTAAGAAGGCATAGGCAATTCATTTCGAGGAAGAGAAAATATGCAGAGTAACACCGGGTATTTTGAAAGAGGAGTACTCGAAGAAAGAGCATCCTTTAAAGCAGTAATTAAGAACGTTCCAACAATAGCTGTCGAAGTGCTGCTCCTGCGTCAGTTGAGAGTAGTAAATGCAAAGGCAGTATACATCTCACATAATAAAAATCAAAATCAACAACGTATAGCGACAGTGTATTTTGGTTCACATGAAGAATTAGAGGCAGCATTAGTAAGGAAGGTGTATTATCTTGATGTTAAGCTAGAGTAGATCAATATACAGAATAAAAGTAGAAGAGATATAGTTAAAGAAGAGACAAATAATAGGGGAGTCAAGTCTCAAGTTGCTGAGGCAGCAATAAGTAAAGGTAGAAAATGGAAGAGACAGCAACCAGCAGAAAGGGTGTTTATGAGCAGTGCTGTGAGCAACAAAGAAAACAGTAATCCCAAGGTTGAAGGACCGACATCAAAGCCAAAAGAAAAACAAGTTCAAGACCTAAACGAAGAGATTAAACTCGAGTTCCAATTTAAAAGTATCTTTGATGAAATACTTGGTAGGCTTGACAGAATCGAGAAAAGTCACTTAGGGGCTTTAGGCCCCAATCACTCCTAGAGTTGCTATGGGCATGTTCAAACAAACTGAGGGGCTACAAGACAATTTGAATGCCCGGCAAGGTAGTACCTTTAGTAGTAGTATGGGCAATAGATGTGTAGTAACAGAAAAGTTGAAGGAGTGTCGGGCCAACATGGCATACCACAACATTAATGGTATAAGAGGCAACAAAATTAAATTGAAGGCAATTGCAGAGTGGGTATGTGAAAACGAGGTTGATTTATTGGGCTTAGTTGAAACAAATTCAAGTAAAAAAGAGTTAAAGTTTAGCTTGGATGAGGTAAATATGAAGAGTTTTTGGTCTTAATACAAAGTAACGAAAAGAAAAGATTCAGGCATTGGTTTGCTAGTTGGTTCAAAGTGGGAAAAGTATTTGGGTCAGGTGTGTAGATTTGAGGAGTATATGTTAGAGGCCCAGTTTTACTTTAAACAAACAGTAGTAGTAGTAATGGTAGTCTATTTGCCACCAAGTGATAAAATATTGACTAATAAGGTTCAGCAAAAGGTTATAACAAGCTTTATGCAGAGAACAAGCAATATGCAATTTGTGGTAATGGGTGATTTTAATCATGTAGTAAATAGAGAATTAGATAAATGTAGTAATGGGCTTAGTATAGTATCCAAGGTGCTTCCTTTGCATAAATGGTTTAAAAATCAAGGTTTTGTCGATACATTTAGAATAGTTAATCCGGATCTGATGAAGTACTCGTGGTTTGGTCAAGGGGTTGAGACGAGAATTGATCAGATTTGGGTCTTTGAAGATTTAAAATATGGAGTACTAGCAGTTGATATTGTAGAGGCAGACATGATAACAGCAAGTGATCATGCTATAGTAACAGCTAATATTACAATAAAGCATGTAGTCCAGTTGTATAGTGCAGCAGCTGAGAGAAAGAAAGAAATATCAAGGAATATCTATCTATATGATGAAGCAACAAAAGAGGATTGGAAACAGTATCAAGAAGATCTGGTAAAGCTAACTGTAGACAATCGAGCACTCACA